TTTCCAAAACCTTTTTCAAGACCTGCAGTGGACTTTCCAGCACGATAATGCCCCAATTCACACCGCCCGATCCGCGAAGTCCTGGATTCAGGGCCAAAAAGTTGATCTCATGGAGTGGCCACCATACTCACCCGACCTTAACATCATTGAAAACGTCTGGGGATGGTAGGTCAGGAAAGTGTATGAGTCCGGAAAACAGTATAGTACAAAGACAGAGTTAATCGAAGGTATTGAACATGCTTGGTCAACCATATCCTTGAATTATATTGAGCAATTTTATAATCCATTCCTAATCGAATTTTTGAAGTAATCTCAAACAAAGGCGGCACTACGCATATATGCTTTATACATTAAGTAAAATATTTAAAAAATTTTAAGATTAAGCTCTGATGGTTTAGATTTTATTTAACATTGAAGTTGAGTGTGTTGCGTCAAGTCAATAGAGGATGCCAACATCAAGTCGCTAAATTTTGTAACTTGTTCTATATGAAATACATTTTCTGCCAATTTACCATATCTCCAATTAGCGTATGCATATATATTTGTATACATATATATTTCACTAGTCACATATCGTAAACTTTGGAAGATATATCCGTCATATCTTTTTAATCTTGGGTGGTCACCGCGATTCTTAATTTCAACGCTCTAGCTCTTTAGCTATCATATTTAGCATATAGAAAATGCATTTTCCGTTCTAAATTTTAAAAGCTTTTATTAATAACTGTAAAAATTTGCTTTCAGTTTCACAAACCATTGCACAGTGCACAAACCCAGTTTACGAATTCATTTTTTCTATTTGGTGAATAAGTATGAGCTAGCAAAGGTATACATATGTGTACATACAGCTGCGAAAAATAATATAGCACCACTTGCAAATGCAAAGTTTAGGAAGTTCTCCTAGCTACATTTTTCAATGTATTGATCTAATTTTTGCTTTAATATAAGCAGAAAACAATTCATTATTGCAAAAAACAAAAATTTTCAAAAATATTCATCGTTTTTATATACTTCAAAATATTATCAAAAAAGCCGAAAATATTCCGAACAAATAATAGTACCAATTTTTCATTTTGCGCTACAAATTATTCACAAAATGAAAATGAGTAAAAAGGTTTAAAAGGTTGACAAATGAAAATAAATATACTCTCTTAAGTTTAGTAATTGTTTGTTTTGCCTTTGTTAGCAATTAAGGCTGTACAACGCCTAGGCATGGCTTTTAAAGGGGATTTCAGCTCAGGACTCCTGAACGACTTCCCAAAACTTACTTGTATTAGATTCAAAAAACTATTTTTCTGTCATCCGTCACAAATTTTCGATTAAATTTAGGTCCACCGACTGCGTTGGCCAGTCGATTAAATTCTCCTGAAACCATTCTTTCGCTTTCTTTATGGTAAGTTTCGGGTCATTGTATTGTCATTTTAGTGGTATATTAATCCAGCATCACTTATTCCAATATATCAAAATAAACATCTCGGTCAGTTATGATTTTGATCCAATGAATTGGGCCTACACCATAGTACGAAAGGTAACCCCATATTCTTACACTTGGTCCTCCACCTTTTATGGTTTTTTTTTGTACGTCTAGGGTTGAATTGCAAGTTCTGTTCTCACGTTGGACCGCGATCCTTTTCGACCAAACATTATAATCTACTTTCGCAGACCAATTTTTGTGTTCCTTTGCCAATACCATCCGTTTAGAAATTTGTTTTATATCAAATCTGGTACTTTTCTTGAACTGAAAGCATTTAAATAGTAATGTTTTAAGTATATCCGTTGAGTATATCCTTTTTTAGTTGTGTAGCCGACTTAAAAGGATCATTTTTACTCAAGCGAATGAGTCAAGTGACACGTTGCTGGGAACTCCACGCTATCTGCATTTTTCATCAATTTTTTTTATGGATTAATGCATGGTCACATCATTTTATGTGAATAACCTATCAAACGACCAACTTTCCTGTAAAAATTTCGAGCCGAAAGCAACTTTTTGATTAGATTGCGTTGTTCGGGGTTGCAATGCTTTCCACGACCCATTTTTTGTAAATTTTTACACATTTTTAAAATTTTTTAATAAAAATAGATATATAAACAACAAATCTCATCAATAATTGCTTTTGAAGATATGTAACTATGCTAAAAATACAGGTTTTCACTCGCAAAGGAGTAGTGGTGCTCTTATTTTTTTCGGCATTTTTCGGTTTTTTTGAGATTTTATTGAAATATGTATATAAAAACTATAAAAATGTTGGTGATAATTCCTTTTTGCCGTAATAACAAATTATTTTCTGCTTATGTGATTGAAAAAATTAGATCAATACATTGATAAACGTGTCGAGGAGAACTTCTCAAACTCTGAATATGCAAGTGGTGCTATTTTATATATATTAATAATTATTATAATTAATAATTAATAGTGTTTTATATATACCTTGAAGATCCGTAAATGTCGAGGGTGATGAATCCACCAATGCCAACTGTAAGTGTTTAAGTGAACTACGAAAATCACTATTAACTTTAAGCATCAGTCCTAAACGCAGATGAATTTCATTTGCACAGACGAAATATGGGTTCAAGTACAAAAGTTCTTGGAATAGTTTAATTGACCTTAAGGAATAGAAAATGTAAAAGTTAATATACAATTTTTACATTGATTTGGGAGTTTTGATATACAATATACTACCTAGAAAATTTGAATAAAATGTTTTAGTTTGAGGCAATATACATTTCGCTAATATTAAACTTTTTGAACTTAATAACAATAATTCAAATCCTTTGCGTTCATTAATGTAAATATCAGATTGATAATCAGTCCAAATTTACAAACCATTCTTAAAACATGTACTTTTACCTTCATTACCATATAGAGTATTAATAATTCATAACTAATCTATATATTTTTTTTAAAACGCCCAAACAAAAATAATACAAACGTTTCTGTTGACTTATTATTAATAACACAATATTTATGTATGTGGACTATATTTCACCCATTTTTTATGACATATCAGGAACATAAAATATAAAAAATTGTCTTTTATAAAACAATTAAGGAAAGTCAAATTGAGTTACATATGTATGTATTGGTTTGTGTAAACATTCTATTTGCTTAGTTGTTTATATACATATGTATACACAAATACAATCCTTTAGATTTATGTTAACATATATACTCACATACATATATTATTACACATATGATATTGCAATATGTAGATAGGGCAGCACACATCCTGTATCTGTATAATAATTTATTAAACTTTATTTCTTTTATTTGTACTAGCTTTTCGAAGTTGTGACAGTTTATATTTGGCAGTGTTTTTTTCTAATTTTATATAAAAATCACTCAGTCAATACAGATTCACAATTATTAGTGCTGAAAATCAAAAATATCGATATACCTCATTACACGTATTCGATACATCGATAAGCATTCAGTAATGAATCTAAGAGAAACGGATGATAATTGGAACAGTATTCTACAATAAATAGATACATAGACAATATTTTATTTGGATACAGGAAAAACTCTTTTGCGCCAAAAACTGCATCCAGAACCAGGAGAAACTTAGTTTACCAATTACCGATTTTAATTAAGTAGTAGTATCACGTTATGGGAAATTTTAATCATGTTGCTTTAAGTGCTCAGTCAATCGCGGCTGACCAAAAGAGCTGGGAAATCCATCGAGAGCTCTATCGATATTATCGATGGAACTTGTGAAGTGCGATAGATCGATTGAAAATTTTCGATTTCGATCTATCGAAGTTGTTGTGAGCGTGGTGGCGTGTAAGGTACGATTATATACCAAAAGTTCTACCACTAACCAGATAACACATAGACCGGACACCTAAAGTAAAGCGTTTTGCACACTTATTTTTGGGGATTATGACCCACAGAACTTCGTATTTGCTCGGCTCCTCCTCGGTGGTCTTTGCTCTCTCAACTATAGATGTATGTATGCATGTGAGCACAAGCAGCAGAACCCATGTCTTCCCTTCTGCATGAAGAGTATACTGAACTCTTCAAACCGTCTGCCAAGCTCGTACAAAATATTTACGTTTTCGTTATTATTTGCGAGAAGGGTATGAAAGCTTTGGTGCTTATAATGAAAATGTTTTCGAGACGCGCGTACACACACGCACTACAGTCCCTTGCTCATACATGTAGTCTTTATATGCCTGTGTGCGAAGCTCTTTCTACCGTAGCAATTTTGAAGCCCAGCATTTGCATTTGGTTGATTTTCACACTTACATACATATGTTTGATTGTGTGTATGCAGGGGGCGCGATGCTCACAGCTGTGGGATATCACTTGCAGAAGCATTTGTATGCCTATGTGCCTTTAAATGTACGTTTGTGTATGTGCATGTGTGTAAGTATAGGACGTGAACATTGCACTATGGGTATTTATTCAAAAAAAATTTTGTTTACAATTTAAAATTTTCTTTTATTTATTGAAT